GGAGAGGGGTAGGGGACGCGGCACGGCAAAGGGGGAGAGCAATAATTACGGCATACTCACCGACATATCGTGGTCGCGGGATGTGATTCTTTCCTGGGGTAGGCAATTCCGCCTCGCTTGTCCAGGATGTGATTCTTTTGGGGATGCTTCCCGTCCCGCGCATCGTTGTGGCTCCAGGCGGCAACGCCAGGGAAGTGCCAAGTGACAATAGTGAAATGATCAGGATAATAAATAAACTATTATGGGCGATTTGCTATTAATAATAATTATATTTGGCGACTTTTAAGAAATACGCACCAGCTCGTGTGTAACGACGTTTGGAGCCGAATCGTATTTGTCGTGGGAGGGTCATCGGCGTGCTCGGAAAGGTCCCCAATGACGTCCCCGGGGGCCCGGACGACATCGGCACTACCAGATTTGGACTCAGCGTGCGAGAAAACCCCCGAACACGATATTTCAGTCGTCCTGGTCGTTCCGAGGTTGACGGTCGGTCGGTCGGCCAGACCGGGTATCTAATTTTGACAGCCCCTTGGGGATGGAAACGTCAGAACGTCGGCGGTCGGCGGTCCCGGACCAAGTTCTGAACTCGACGTGTACAGGTGGAGACGACAACCGAGTGGCGAGTGTGCCAGGGCATGATCACTTCGGCACCGCCGGGCGAGGGATCGAGTCCTGGTCGTGGCGAACTTTTTTGTGGGACCTATCGCTGCAAGCCTGGTCAGTTAATTCGGATGCGGGAAAAAAAGGGGAAAATTGTCCTCAGTATCCGAACCAGCGACCATCTGCGTCCGGCGCGCGCACTCTACTCTGAGCCATGAGGCTGTTTGTTGTACGCTTAAAACAAATGCAGGCGTTGCTACCTATGGGGACTGCCGGAGTACTCCTATTTTTATGGTATTCTTTAGGGCGGGGGGAGATACTGTTCAGTAAAAGACTTGCAGTGTAAACCTAACTGTGCACTTAGTACACTCTCTCATGTTGTCTACTTGAAAGCACACACAAGGAACTGTGTGCCTGGCATGGCACACACTAGGAAGTGTGTGTGGTACCCACTTGGAAGTGTGTACTTGACATAGCGCCGCGCTATGTGGCGCGTACACACTAAAAAGGGTGGGTTTACAGTGTAGGTAAGGGGGATTGTGTTTTCTGTGTGAGACATATATTCAGTAATATTTTGAGAACAATGAAGTTTCAAAGCTCTATTGAAATTTATTTATTATCACAAAAAGAAGCAACTTTGAAAAACAAACACTTTTAGTGAATTAGGTATTTCTTTCCACTTCACTGAATAATGCTGCTTTTACCTTGCATGACTTGAAAGTGGAATGAGCAACTGATGGTAATAAGCTTTTACTTGAAATAAAACAAGTAACATCACTAACAAGGGAAGGTTTTCCGGTGATACAGTCAGATTTCAATGGCGCCTTAAAGTGTTGTTGTTTGAACCCCTAGATAAGGTTTGGCACTGGTTTTAGCTGCGCGTAGGGGGTTTGAAGGTCTTTGTACGCGAATTTGACTGAAAATTCACCAAATTTATAGCCCGATTATCAACTTTACATGCACATATCTCAAGAACCGTTTGAGCTACAGCGCCCACATTTTGAGGGAAATCATAACTCGGTACGTTCTTTACTTGTAGGAAATTTAAACAAAATAGAATATGGTCGCAAAAACGGGTCCCGAGAGGTGGTTACGACCCTGGACCCCTTTTGGTGACCCCCACCGATTTTGTTCAAATATTTTTCATGGAAAGTGCTCACTGGAAGAAAACTTCCTGCAAAATCTGGGCGCTGTAGCACAAACAGTTTCGGAGATACATGCATGCAAAGATGGCGATAAAGCAATACATTTGGGGGATTTTTGATCAAATTCGCGTAAAATGGCCTTCAAACTCCCTACGGGAAGCTAAAACCAGTGCCAAACCTTATCTAGGGATGCAAACAACTATACACTTTAAAGTGCCATTAAAATCTGACTGTATCACCGGAAAACCTTCCCTTGTAAGGTTAACATTATTTCTTTCCTAAGGAAGTGTAATGTTCCTAGATATTTTAATAAAAATACTCTTCAGGTTTATAAATCTGAACTATAAAAGAAAAAAAATAAATAACAAGCAGGAATAACGAATAAAGTTACAGGTGTTAATACACATAGTATATGTGACAAATACAGCAGCACATCAATAAGATTTATTACAATAGCTACATATCGATAAGTAACTAGAGATCTTCAGTCCAAAAATATTACTGTTGTATTGTTAACTACAATTATGCAGCTATGCAGTGAAAAATATACCTTGAGAAGGTTTTGTAACTTCTGAACTAATAAACCAAAGCTAGAAGAGAAACAACATTAGTACATTTTTTTCCTTTTCTATCTCAAAGTAACAAATTTACAGTTTGAGAAAGTTGCCACATCATCAAAGATATTGGATACTGGTGAGTCAGAAGAAAAGGTTGCTCTGATTGCGTTCCTATGTCAGAAAAAATGACTATGAATCACACCAGTCATATAAACTTATAATGATCTGAAAGACTAGATGGAGAGATTTTAGATGTAGCCCTGATCTACACAAATCTCTGTGGAAAATGTATAACAAAGCTATCTTGGCAGTCTAACATTCCAATCTAGAAGAACAATATTGATACTGCAGCATTAAAACTTTTAAAAGATGCAGTCGAAAGAGAATTGGCACTGAATAAGTAGACATTATCAATTGAGTAACTTTGAATCCTCTAGATTAAAATGATTCCAGACCAATAACATATGCAATGGGAATATGTTATCTTCAATCACAATATCATTATCAGCAAAATAATTTGAGGGCAACTCAAACTGAGATATTGAGACACAAAGAAGCAATACCCAAACACATCAAGGAAGCATCATTTCAGTCATTGCTCCCTTGCTGGCAAACCCAAAACTACAAATTTTGGAGTGATATTTTTCATATTTTTCCACAAAGACTCACAACTTTAGCCTACAACTTTTGAAAGCTAAATTTTACAATAACTTTACATGTTTCATTGTTTATAACATTGGATAGATAATTAAAAACTTTGACAAAATAATAGTGAATATGATCAAAGCTCAATGATATTTTAAAAACCAGATCTGGAGGCTTACAAATTGTTTAAAAAGATGTGGTGGTAAAATATTTTAAATATTATTGTAAGTACAAATAAATACAAAGTAACAAATTTCTGGACAATTTTAAGGGGGAAGCAATACAGGGGCTACCTCTAGTCCATACCCATTTCAATCCATGCCTTCCTGTGTGGAATCAGGAGAATAATTTCATTGCTTTGCAGTAAACATAATAACATGTAACGAAAAACAAGCTCATTAATGACCTAACCAAAAAAACAAAACAAATTATAACAAAATGGTAAACACTTCTTCAATTGATTGATTTCCATGCCAACTGCCAAAGTGAAAAGTAAAGCATACACAAATCAAATCAGCCTAAAAAGTGGTAACGCTAACCATCATATGTACTATTACCTTCCTCACGAGTTATGCACTAAGTACCGTACATAGTACAGAAAAAAATGCTTTCGACAGAAAATAATGCAGAGGCTTGAAAGGATCAACATAGGACCAAATGGAAATACCAACTGTAATTTGACCCTGATTAAAACTGATTGAGACTTATGAAATAGCCCGGGTCATTTCAAATATGAGACTCAAGAATATGCAGATAGGGTTTTACAAGTTTCCAACTCAGCAAAGTCATGGTCATTGTCATTGTGACAAGTCCGCCATCACATAAAAACATTGTACAAAATTTGACTTCCCAATCACCCACTTGCTAAAATCCCAGAACACAGACCCAAAATAACAACCAAACCATGAAAACACTAGGTGGGTATATGATTCTAAATTGTCAATGACTAAATCCATGTAAGATGGTGAGACTGTATACAATCAATCTCTTTAAAGGCTCTTTAAGGTACAGCATTAAAAGATGCACATTGAAATGATCTATGATGGAACATCCTGCAAGTGTTTATAGAGTAATATTTGTAAACAATAAAGCCAATGAGGGATTGCACTACATACTCATCCAGAGGATAATTACTAAAAGTGATGAGGCAACACAACAGTAGTAAAATCCTCATAAGCATATGTACTTTTATCAGATAAACAAATTGGGGAGTGGTACCTACATAACTAAGAGCACTTTGAACTTCAATCAGGAAGTAAACAGAATAAAAGAAGACCACTAGAACTGATAAAAGTGTGAAAAGTATACTATCACCGGGTATAAGAAGTTGATTTCACCATGTACTTTCATAAAGGTCCTTAACAAAGCAAACAGTTTTTTAAAATCACACAATCAAAACTAATGCCTTAACAATCTTTATCATTGGTAAAAAAAAGAAGAAGAACACTTTTAAATACAAGTATCTACAACATTTCACTTTCAGAAACATGTCCACCAGATAAACATTTACATACAAACTAGACAAATTATTTTGCACACAGCCACTATTAAAATTGAGTTCAAAGCAATGACATTCTGTAAGAACACTAATATTTCCCATCAACTCTCAAATAGTTCAAAAAATTACAAATGCAGTTGCAAAAGATGACAGAATTTTGCAAGGCAAACTAATAGCTGGGGTATTCCTCCCTGATAAGAGATTGAATTGAGTACAGCGCTTTTCTTAAAAGATATAATGTAACCAGAGAAAAGGGAAAATAGAGGGAATGTAAGAGGCGACTACATTCTAGATATGAAATAAAATGCAAATCATAACATTTTCTATTAATAGATACACCACAGACCATGTCACGAATTTATAGAGTCATAGAGATTGGTAATTACTTATATATAACAAAGTGCATTGGGTAATGACATTTGGTTCAAAGTGCAATCCAACACCAACCTGTTTGAACAGAAAAGAAAAAAAAAACTTTTAGTTTGAATTTTGGTTACAGAACAAAGGACAAATGAGAAAAGTAGATTACTACAGTAGATTAGTCACAGATTAAAGATTGAATTCTAGAGATTTTGCTGACTGTGCAAATTATACCTCCAAAATTAAAAGACAGTGCTTAATACAGAAAAATTTAGAATACCTCCCGACATTAAAACAAATAGGCACCTGAACTAAGTCTGCTAAAGTTTGTGTAACATCTGATTGGACTTGATTTGGTTCACCTTGCAAATTTAAAAAATGTCCAGAAATGCCTGTCTGATTAATTTCATTGGGAGATGAAATATTGAGAAGAAAACAAGTGAGATTCAATCTACAACCTACATTTTGGAAACACTATAGGATAAATTGATTGATACCTCAAAGAGCAAATAATGAAGCATCGTCATCTTTTTTGTGACGCTGCTGGGCACGTGTAGTGGCATCTGAAGATGTGTTCCCTGCATTTTCTGCAGCAGCAGCACGTTCTGCCAAAAATCTTTCAAATTCACTGCTTGTCATACTTTCTTCAGCAGGCTGTTCAACAAAAAACAAAATGGTAAAAGTAAAAACTAATTTTTAAGTGTATAAGTGAGCAAATTATACAGGTAAAGTAGATACATACTGCATCACCCAACCACTCAGCCATTTCATCAAAATCACTCTCCTTATGCATCTGAAAGAGAAGAGACAATCAGAACAATATCTCAATTTGATTGATTGATTGTAAATGTTATTTGTTGGTATTTTGACTACAGCGATTCTTTTGTTTTCAAGTAGACATGCTGCTGTCAATGCGTTACCAATAACATTTCAGTTAATGCTGGAGGTAGATAAGTAATTAAAATAATAAGGTTTTCAACTTCTAAGTTTACCTAATTGTTATAGACCTCTACTTATTTGTGTAAATTGGCACTAAAAGCCATGGCGTCATGCTCATCCTACTCTCCCCATGCCCAGTAGTGCCCTGCAGGTAGACAGACTGTCAGGTGTAATCAACTATGAAAGCTCATAAAGGATCGGATTCATGAGGCAGCCACACTTTCATACCATTCTTTCATAAACAGGAACCCTATCAAGCAGATTTTTTGAGTACAAGAGGAGTAGAGGAGTAGATTAGATTGTAAGAGAGACAACCAAGCCAATCAAATACTATTAACATACAACAAGATTAAGACAGATTGACAAAAATACACATGCAGGAAGAGAAACTTTGCTAATAAGACAGCATGCACAAAGGGTTAGTAGCAACGTTCTACAGGCAAGCTTACCCCGATAATTTGTTCCTGCTGAGACTACAAATGACACAAAAAAGGGGTAAAAATAAGATAATTAGAGCTTGTAGTTAAATACTGTAAGAAACCATTTCACATCATGACAGGAGGCACAAGAAAAACGAAGGTGTGCACAAACACATACATAAATCATTTTAAGAAAATAAATAGCCAAACACAACTAGCAGTGGTGGGAGCTACCCTTTAAACAAGAACACAATTCTCAAGATGAAGGCGCAGAGGGGAGCCTCACAAATCAAATATGTTATTCCATATCAAGTAGAAGAGAAGCAGAATTTCTCTTTTTAATGAATTTTTCTAGACACCAAATTGAAAATAACAAGCATTCTTCCAAAGAAGGTCTACAAAAATATGAAATTGAAAATATATGTGAGAAGAGGCAGAGGAAGAGCGTTGTGGACAGCAACAAACGGAATTGCTTTAAAAAAAGAGGCACACATGGCAGTTTTCTGAGGAATACTAATTTGTGTAGCAATATACCAAAATAAACGTTTCCTTGTCATTCCAAAATACCAGGATTCAACACACAGTTTTTGACCCTGCGCGCCTTGGCTGCTAAGTGTAACTCGTGTTTTTTCAGGATTTTGCTATCACATTGGAAAAAAAAAATTCCATTAAAGCACCATTACGAGAAGAAACTCTACCGTTTGATTTACTGCACACCACTGTAAGTATTTCAGTTTCTTCTGGGGGTCCTAACTTATTACACCAAACGGAGCACAATACTCGTTCTTCTACTGTACCTCCGCGTGGTGAGGTATGGAGGGGGGTGAAGAATGAGTAAAAATCAGGAAAAAACCACCAACTAAGTCCCTATGCAAAAGTATCCCTCACCCTCATAGGACACATTGGGCACCAGGTAATAAATAAAATTCAAGAGAGAACCAGTCAAACCCCATGCACTACAACTTCTGATTCCCTACATGCACAATGTAAGAGATTACCCAATAATCAAGACCAAAACCAAAAGCTCTACATAATCTTTCATAAAAATTGAAATAAAAATTCCTAATCAGAAATAAAAACTGTTTTTCTAAAAACAAAAACAAAAAAAACACCATTCGTCCATACATATTACCTACAACAGACCACAATTTTCAAATAAATATCTATTGTTACCTGATTTATTTTTAGTTTTATAAAAACGACATGCAACTACTAATTTTGAAACGTGAAAATTTTGAGAACAAAGAGAAGAATTATACCATCTTTTTGGGTGGTCAAACTTATAACATCAAAGAAGAACAAAAAACAAAAAGCATGCTCACCGAGGAAGCCTGACTTCTAGAGGCTGCTACTACACCTAAAGATCCACTCACTTGATCCGGCTTTAGATTGTCTTGGTATGTACTTCCTCTGCAAAATCAAAAGGAGTTACATGGAGATGCAAGCATAACATGTTGAGCCTTAGCATTCAGAACAAAATGTAACAATTTGTATGATCATGTGAGACTCAAGATGATTAAGAGTACTGTGCACAAATACGTAGACTGGTTATATTTTAACAAGGAACATACCCACTCTTTGATGACTCATATGTAACATTCCTAGACTGGGCAAACATATCAAACTCTGAGTCATCTTCCTTTTCCCTTTTGCCATGAGCTCCTTGCTGAGCAGATACACTTGTCAAATTTGATAACTGGGCTGAAGCTCCGGAATCAGTAACACCTTTAAAAAAAAAAAAAAAAAAGGGTAAAAAAAAACTGATTATGATTTGACTGACAAAATGTGAGTTACAAAGAGCTAAAAATTATTAACAATTAATTTAAAAAATAAATAAAAAATAACAATATCATACTAAGAGACGCCAGCTTGGAAGTAATTTGTTGAGGTGCTGGATCATCATCCAAATCAATAAGCGATTCCACCTGCTTTTCTTTTCTTTGATCCTTGTCTCCTCGTTCTCTATTACCCTGAAATCTTGAGTACCTAAAACCACGGAAGACAAAGAAGATTACGAAGTGGTCTTACAGATTTTATAATTTAAACACTTGAACTTTTCTCAAGGGAAAGTATTTTACCTTAAAAATAAATTATTAAGGAGGTCATTGATCCGCAGCAGCTCGGCGGTGATTTCATCATTAGCAAGTTTGCCAATCAATTGCACAAGGCGTTGTTGCATTGCATGACAAGTACTGTGCAACTCCTGAAATTGCAAGAGAGAAATATAGGAACTAAAAGGTGAGCAATTTACAACAATTAAACCAAATAATTTTGAGAAAGTAAAAAACAGGGGGGGAATAAGACTACCACATGTTGACTACATACTGTTAGAAGTTCCAGATCACTAGGATGCTCTTCTCTTGGTGTAAGTTCATTCAGCATTTCATTGAGTACAGCCATGTTTGCTTGGACCACATCTAGCTCACTCTGGAGTTTAGCAAGCTGATCAGGTGTCAGTTGGACGTTTTGCAGTGATTCTGGTGCTGCTGCATTTATGTTGGAAGGAGCATGAGCCCGCGGGCTTGAGGGTCGAGGGAGAGCAGGTGTAGCAGCTGCTTCCTCCCCAACTTCTGGTTCCTGAGTCTGCATAGGAATGTAAAGTTGTTCATCAGAAATGGATAGATTAAATGGCACTACTATAGCATTCAGAGAAACTTTCAGTTACCCTTTGAGGTGTATGTATCGGTGCCATTGTGTCCAAGTTAGTCATGGGGAACTCAATACCCTTTACTTTGAGATCACTATACACCTGCACTACGCCCAAAAGATCAGGTTGGTTTCGGAAAGCATCTGCCCAACTTTGAATGAGACTCAATACTTTTTCTTGGACAGCAGTAGGTGGATCGTTCTTCGGGCCTAGTGATAACACAGAACAATTGGTAAACATTTTTTTGTGACAAGTTATGGTGGAAAAAACTTGGGACGGAAGAAGAAAAGGTGGGAAAGGCAATATGTAAGGTCTTACCAATGAGCTTCACCAGATCTTGTACAAATTCTTTGTTACAAACATGGATGTGGAAACGTTTCCCACAGTTCTTCACACATGTCTCCAAAACCTTAAATGAAAATTGAACATCATGTATATCATTTTGAAGAGGGTTTACAGGTTCAACTAAGGTAAAATAAAATGTTTGATTTGAACTGAATCAATTACCGTTAGAGTGTACATGACAACAGTATAATTCCTTGCCGCATTTTGTTGTAGTCTCTTTCGAATGGCCTTTATGGCATCCTTTGGACCTTCATCAGTACTGTTAATAAGGTCACAAATTTCCATATTGAGTGCCCAGTTCTCTGATGCCAAGGATGCATCAGTGGCTTGCTCTGTCAAGGAGATAATAGTTTGAGAGCATTACCACAGGGAAAATGTTAAGCTCGTACAACAAATAATGAAAGGCAAGGAAGGAATGAATAGAAAAATTTTCAACTAGGTATTTCATTGAAAAAGTATAATTTAATATGATTGTAGTAAAAAAATTTCAAGAGAGAGAGAGAAAGAGAGAGAGAAAGGAAACTTCCATAGATAAAATGGACACTTTACAAAGCAAAATAAAAAGAACACTGCCAGTTTGGTAAACAATACGTCGTATTGAGGTTATGTTATGATTACTTGTACAGTGAAAGAGGAGACAACCGTGAGTCAACAGAAAAATGTAGTAGATATTGAAGACACAGTAGTTTTTTGATTGAATTATATAGTGCTAGAATGGTTTAGGAGGTAAGTAATAAATAGTGTTGCATAATCAAAGTACAGTGACAGCATAGTTTCTTGTGAAACGTCAAAGAGGTGATGCTCGGTAGAGTTTTTATAATTACAAGTCGAGAAATAAAAACCGAGTTACTTTAATATTCTAAAGAAAAAGTTTCTAAACCCTTGTAAAATAACAATAAAATTCCTGAAAGAACACTTTACCAATTCTTTGACCAACAAGTGTGGCAAAGGGATTGCCACCCCCAACTCCGAAGAACGACATGTTTGTTTTCAATGGGCATGTGATGTAATAGGGTGCTCAGAAGTATTTCACACTTCCCAGTCATCAGCTCCGTTGGTGTGACCACATCTGACCAAACTTCAGTATGAGAAATTCTTTTTGTTGTTGTGTTGTTGTTGTGTTCATGTTGTTGTTGTTTGTTGTTCGTTGTTTTTGGTCACACAATCATGTGTTGATGTGATGTGTGTAAAGTCCCACAGTGCTTCTACATTGTACTATATTGGTTGTTTTCAAGAGATTCTCTCTGTGTTCTACGACTGTGATTACATCTGACAAGCTACAGTAAGTAGAAATTGACTGTTAAATTTTCTGGCGTTCCCGATCTTTTTGCTGACATTAAATAGTATTAAATTACAGGATCAAGATCAAACTAGCTGAGTCCTCAGAAAATGGAGTTAGATAATTTTGACAACAGACCATCACGAAAGTAATCACCAAACTTTAGAACACAGCTTTCACTCAAGTTGATATGTCAACTGTATTTTTGTGAGTGTGTGATCAAGAACAAGAAAATTAGCAATGTTCTAGGTAGGTTAGGATTTCCTATGTTTTAAAATTGCTTTTGAGTGAAGTATTGTCTTATATTTCTTGAAGCTTGTGCCATTTACCATACTTGAGGATGGGAAGTGTCTCCTTAATTAAGTTGATTTAGTGTAATTTAGTATAATTGGTCACTACAAATGGTACATCTTTCAGGTGATCAGTTCTTTTCTGAAAGTATGATATGGATGACTCCAATGCAAGTGGTTTGTGCGAGGAGCCCGATGCTGACTTTTTTGATACATTTTTCGACGATGGGGTCCTTGACACAATTGGAGAGGTTTTTGCCGAGCATAAACCTGATGAAGCTGAGGATTCATCTCGTGATTCTGTTGAAGAAATTGCCAGAGTTTCTTCACCAAATGTTGCTCTGAGTGATAAAAAAAATGAGCATGCACCACTTTCAAACAACCAAACCGAAGATGGCCATCAAAAGGAAAATGGAATAATTACTTTGAAACCTGCGTGCATCCATGATCCAGAAAATCCTCCTGAATGTACCTCAGACCATAAAACAAATAAGAATTACACTGTGAAATCTGATAATGCCAGTGCTACCACCTCATTTGGCTCTGTGCAGAGAAATGCATTGAAACAGTTAAAGGAATTTCATAAAGATAATTCATCAGAAATCATAAAGACTCAACGTTTAGAAAATAGATCTTCTCTTCAGGCTGATGAAAAACAAAAAGTAGACCCTAAGCCATCCATTTCAATGGATGATCTTCTGGCTAAAGTTAAAAAAATACTCAAAGAAACACCTGGAACAGGATCTAAAGAGACACCCAAAGAGGTACCAAAAGATGATCTTCTGGCTAAAGTTAAAGAAATACTCAAAGAAACACCTGGAACAGGATGTAAAGAGACACCCACAGAGGTACCAAAAGATGTAAGATTAAAATTAGACAACCCTGACAATGGACTGGCGAAGAATGTGGATGAAGTAACTGTTGCAATAAATACTCCAGGCACCATAACCATCAGTAAGACCGATGCTGTTAGGGAAGAAATTAGTAAGAAACCCGATATAAAACCATTATCAAGAGAGCGATTGCCATGTTCTAATTCTCTTCCAGATTCTAGCCAAGAAGACCTGAGTTCTAGTACTGTTACTGAACAATCGATAATTGAGGAGGGTGAAATAAAGGAGGATTCTGTGCCCAGTTCTTGCATATTATCGACTTCAAATGGCAGTGTAAGTGCCACTAAAACTGCAATTCCAAACTTCAAGACAGGAAAATCAAAAGATGAAGCTGAGAAAGAAAATGATCTTACTTTGGAAAAAACTTTTCAAAAAAGTGGCAATGTTCAGTCTGAGAAGAAAAAGATACCAATCAACATAAAATCTCAATTACTGGCCTCCACATCAATAATTAACTCTGGTTCTTCCAGTAAATCTAGCTCATCTTCAACCAGAGAGACAAAGAAAGGAGAGTCATCTTTACTGTCGAAAGAAGTTTATTCGTCACTTTCATCTCTTTCCGATGAGTCAGGTCCCAGTTGGCAGTCACAAAGAGAGAATAACAAGAAAAGGAAGCAAAATAGTTGTAGTTCCGAATCTGAATCATCCGACGTTGGTAGGCGTAAACATAATTCAGAAGACAGAAGTAAAAGATCTAAAAAAAAGAAGAAAAGAGATGACTCGCCTCAGTCAAGACGAAGAAGAGAAAGCAAAAAGTCAAAACACAGAAGATCTCGGTCACGTTCCCCTTACAATTCTTATAGAAGGAAAATGTCTCCTAAGCGGCCCCGTTATAAACGGCAACGTTCTGGATCACGGTCGCCGGTACCTTATCGAGGTCGGAAATCTCCATCCCCAAGTACTAATAGGAGAAGGAGATCTCGATCAAGAGCAAGGACTAGATCTAGATCCAGGTCCAGGTCCAGGTCACCATTCATCAATGAAATTAGCAGATTAAAGAAGCAATGGGAAAGGGAAGACGAAGCAAAGAAAAGCTCTTCACGCCATTTACATTCTTCCCTGCCATTAGTGGGTTCTTGGCCAAGTGAAAGTACAAATACTACTTCAACCACAATAGTGAGCAATATGTTATCTCTATCTGGTGATTCAGTACATGTACACAGAACTTCTTACACCTCTATTGAAGCTTTCCCTCACGGCTATCAAGGATACATGAATAGTCTTCCTAGTTTTGGACCAAATCATTATGGAGGAGCTCAAATTATGGGTCCTGAGTACACATCTTGCAATAATGGAGGCTCATACAGTGGATTTAATACAAATCCACCAGTACCTGCTCAAGTAGTAGCACCTGGAATTCTGCAATTACCACCAGTGCCTGGTCTAAATACCTCTATTTGTCCCCCAATGATACAGGCAGTTTCAGATCTAAGTCCTCATATTCTTTCTGTGGATTTAACTACTCCTCCTCCAATAATACAGACAGTCCCAGGACAAAATCCTCATCTTCCAGCTCAGCCTCAAACATCTGTCTTGAGAAAGCAGCTTGACATACTGAAATCTACTGTCGCTTCTCTTCCAGAACCTTGTACTTCGCCCAATCAGTTAGGAACTAATACTGCCCTTATAATAACAGATGTTCCTGAGCAAGCTAAAAAAAATATGACTGAAATTCCAAACTCTAAAGAACCTTCAAAGAACTCCAAAAACTCTAAAGAACCTTCAAAGAACTCCAAAAACTCTAAAGAACTGCCAAAGAACTCCAAAACCTCTGAAGAACCTTCTAAGAACTCTAAAGAACTTACAGATAACTCTAAGAACTCTAAAGAACATACAGATAACTCCAAGAACTCTAGAGAACTTACAGAGAAATCCAGGAACTCTAAAGAACTTTCAAAGAACTCCAAGGAACATCCAAAGCACTCCAATAACTCTAAAGAACTTTCAAAGAACTCCAAGGAACTTACGAAGCACTCAAATAACTCTAAAGAACTTCCAAAGAACTCCAAGAACTCTACCCCTGCTTCAAATGTATCAAACAACTGTATCACCACTAGGAGTAATCTTACTCAAATTGTTCTCTCTCCTGAAATTTCTTTCAAGTCTTCCTCAGAATGCCTTCCTCAAAGTATAGTTTGTGGAAAGGAAAGCAGCCATGAACGAGTAAGACGCAACTTAAACGATGAAACTGGCTTACAACAGCTGCAAGATGAAGTTATTTCTGTGGAGACATCTACTATAACTAAAGTAGAGTGTCCTGGTCCAAATAACACTCTTGGAGAAGACTCAGATTCTGATATTATCATTGAGGAACCTCCACCCAAACCCCCGGTGGAGCTGATCTGCCTGTCTGCAGATGAAGGCAATGAAGATGATATAGGTAATGAAGGAAATGTGGACAAAACACGCAATAAAAGTGACGGAGGCATTGAAGGCATTGAAGTCAGTAAAGGCGATGCTAGTAATGAAGGCGATGAAGGTGATAATAATTTATACGACTTGGACAAAGAACTAGATAAGGTTTGTTGATTTATTTATTTATATTTCCTTAAATTTTGAAACACACACGTTGGCACTATTTTTAATTTGCTTTTCTTCAAAATTGCAGATTGACAAAGATATGAGTTTGAGAAGCACAGGTAAAATTCACCTAAACCTTTTTTTTTTTTTTTTTTTTTTTTTTTTGTAACTAGAATAAGTGTTGTGTATATAATTTGAAATATTTGTTTTACTCGCAGCCAAAAATACCAATAATAGTTTGGAAATACCAAATGATTCAGAGAGTAGTAGGAAAAAAAGGAAAAGGAAGAGAAGTAAAAGATCACACTCAAAGAGAAAAGAAAGTGCAGAACAAAGTATAGACCATGAAACTTCTAGAAAAGAGAAACTTTCTGATGTGGAAACAAAATCAAGTGATTCGCAAAATCCAGTTTTAAAGGAGTGCCTGGAAATGATTGACTCTTTACGCTATGGGCGCTTTGTTATTATTGACACCAACTCTGAACCAGAATTGTTTTCTCATCAAGAGACTGAAGGTTCAAATTCTAGGCTAAAAACCCGTCAAATCACAGAATTTTCATATACCAAGAAACCAAACCTAGAAGTGACTTCCAATACAAGAAGTGTAGCTACTAATACTGGCGCACAATTGTGCATAGATGTCTGCATTGGTACAGACAATACTGTGATACAAAAAGATTCAATGGTTCAAACAGACTTCAAATGTTTGGGATGTTTTGAAAAAAGGGTGAGTGCTAAATTTGTACTTGAACTGTATATTTTTGTTATCTTTTAATTAATTGAAAAATTGTTTATTTTACAGGACGTAATTGAAGAAATGAAGTCTAAAATTCTTGAACTAGAAAAAGAGCGAGATGATTTACAAGCAAAACTTTTAACCCATTCAATACCTGGACTCTGTACATCTTCAGGATTGGAAGCTGCTTTAAGTTCGATGGAGAGCACATCAAGAGCTAATTCTAGTAACACTCAATCATCAAAATCTAGTCGAGGTTCTTCTGATACTTCTATTCATTTACAATCAACTAATCATTTCAATGACAAAGATGATAGACTACTGAATGAACCTCAAAGAAGGAATAAGTCAGGTGAACCAGTAGTTGCTTTTGAGTACCATCACCAACCGCCTTACCTTCACTCTCCATTTTAGCACTGATGATACTGTGCCATATTTTTATTTGTTCTAATTCTGAATTAACTGTTTGTGTACTGGTTCTTTCTATATCCCTAGCGCACATTCAACTAATCCGAAAGGTGGAATAAGTCAGGTGAACCAGTCTTTGTGAGTACCATTATATTATTGCCTTATTTTCACTTTTCATTTTAGCACTGCTCATCCTGTGCCATAGTTTTATTAAAATTCTGAATTAACTGTTAACATATTGGTAATTCCTAGAGTAAAGATTATTTTATGAGTTTGTTATCTGTCATATTTTCTTCCTAAGGCACAGGTAATATTAGGTCCATTGTTTGTGATAAATGTATATTGTGAATTTTTTTTGTAGATTTTTTACCTTATGAATCTCAAATGTCTCCTGCTTCATGTGGAAACAAAAGGACTTAAGTTTTTCAACATTTACTTTGTAAACTGAGAGAACTCCTCATTTCATCAGTATCAATATGTGTTACTACTTAGATTTAAATGAAACTTATTTGTATCCCAATGCTAGGCTTGCTGCTAGTACTAGCTGGGATGCAAATGTATTTTGTACAAATCAAGATCTATCTATCTGTGTCCTGAAATCTACCCCGAGACATTTGTATTTGTCTTTCTATGAAAGATATATTTTTGCATATCATATTAAAATGATTTTATACGGTGGAAAATTTTCATACTTTGGAATAAACTTTTTAATATGCAATAAAATCAAACATCAGAGTGTTACCAATTACAAATACTATCCAATATGAGAAGAATCTAATTGGTCCGGATTGTTAGCAGAATGAAGAGAAACACATGTGGTTTTAAAAGTATTTATTCCTATAACAATAGCAAAATATATAACAGTACATAAAACTACAGAATCACATTTTTTTCATCTTCCTCTTAATTTGCAGCAGTCTTTTAAAAGAGCACAACTTTATTTTGAACTTTTGTTTTCTCACTATAGTCCCAGCTGCCGCTGCCAGCTAGCAATCTAATCCAAAATTTAAAACACTGATCAATTCGTCAGAGTTAAAACTAATCTGTTTAGTTACAAATAGGATGCTCGTGAAGGTATGGACATGGAAAAACTACGTCTCCCAAATATTGGAAACCATGTCTGAAAGTAGGATGACTCAAAGCTCACCTGCCTGGTATCTAACAGAATCTTCCAGTGCCATCACAGATGTACTTCTGGAACAATGTCAAACAATCAGTAAAAGACCAGCTTAATACAGAACAGAAAATAAATTTGAAATGAAAAATGGAAACATTGCTTACAACGCCCTAAAACGGGCATGTAAAAAGCCAAAGAAACAGAAGACAACAATGAGCAGCCACTTTGTGCATATTACATACCACCCCCAGTGTGAAATTAGTGAGGAGTGATAGGTGAAAATCCTGTCCTATCTTCCAGATGTGGTTGCTTCATCTTCTTCTTCATCCTCCTCTGCGCCCGAGTTAGTAAGGCTGCACACATCCCCAAAACAATCATTGTGCTTAGAAAACGAAGAAAGGCAAGGAAATTCAAGGAGCATACCCACAAACATGCTTTGATTTTTAGGCTATCAAACAATCTTTTTGTTGATTTCATAGATAAGGCAATGAAAAGATATGCTTTTGGCAGTGCAATGTTTTCCCCTCTGAATGCTGACAGCATTTTCAAAGTGAAGTAAAGAAACAGTAAAATCTTGAGAGGCATTTCTGAAGGCGGTCCGTCCTCCAGGAGAATGGTTTATACATAGTTTGTATGGTCTCTAATCCCTAATTCATCATAACTAGTTATTACTTTTATTAGCTCACCCCAGATAGCGAATGAGATATTTATTATGCTATATCGCTGTATCCCATCTAGAAATCAAATTGTGCCAATAATTGCAGTAAATCCTGTGAACAATGATGAATGATAGATTGTGATGAACCATCGACTGACTATATGGACCCTGTTGGATGGCCACCCAGTATTCACCTACTCTAACTTCATCTGCAATATTTTAGTTCACTAAAATTGTAGAAATAGATGTGAAAATTATTTACTTGCTATAAAATAAGAACAATAACCCAATTTTACCTACAGTAACAAATTTACTATATGAAAAGGAAAAACAAAGGTTATTATGGCAAACATAATATTTTCTTTTAACATGCTGAAAAAGTAACACAATACAACCTATGTTATGAAGTGGATGACAAATACCGTTGATATAAAAAATAAATAAATACAACTATCTACCAATCAACCAATTGGAAATATCAAAATTTCTGTGTAAGTAATGACTTAAGGCGTATTTTATAGATGGGTGCTTCAAATGTGTGAAAATACAGTTTCAAGTATGGCATGCATAGATATTTGCCAATAATAGTCAACAACTAAGACCCCAAATTTTACAAGCAGCAGGCAGACCTACCCTCTGAGCAGTAGGAGTTTGTGGATTAGGCATTACTTGCTTGGGTGCTTAGAGGAAACACATGGGGGATAGGGATAGAGTATATCAAAAAGCATGCACCAGCTAAAAAACTTTTATTGTCAAGCACCTCCCTTGGTTCCCAATGGAAAAAAAAATCTAGATAGGTACTCAGTCATAAGAAAACATAGACTTCAAAAAGGACACTACCTTGACAAGAATTAACAAAAGGCAAGCAAACTAAAGTTATAACTGCCAGCAAACACACTAACAGCTTCAAAATGAGATCAAGTATGAGATCGCCTACATGACTTGCTCACAAGTTCCTGAATACAGGCTTACACAAAGGTTTAAGTGTTACTCTATTCTTTTCATGAACACTTTCAAATGAGGCACTATATTTAATTCTTATGCCTCCACAAACAAAAGTAGATTAATTACACACTAGCTTGCAGAGTACCTTCATTAAGAACACTTACTTCTAAAGGTGGAAAAACAAAACAAAACAAATACTAGCCAGCTCATTCATGCTGTTAAAGAAAGCTTTGAAGTTGAGGCTGCTTTCAAAGAGTAAATACTACTTTTCAAGAACATAATGATAGTTAACATTGTACACACCTTATCAACTATTGTAATTATTTGACCAATTCATTTAAGATCTGCAACTCTTCTCAACAATTGTATTTTTCTACCATTAAAACAGATGACTACTATCAGGAGTCACTGCCAGAGGTCTATATTTTCTAGTGCAATTAAAAATGGAATGGATTTGCCTCTGGTAACATCAGGGTGGCAGCAAACATCAAAATCTGATCATTTTAAACGCTACCAAAATTCAAAACTAGATATTTCTCTAACTCTTTTTAGTATTCACTCTCATGCAAAAATAATATTATCACATTCATAAACAGGAGGTAAATGAGACTGCTACACCAATTATTACTTTTAGCATGCAATATTCTTGCTCATTGAGAGCTTCAAGAAATGTAGTGTAAATCATGCTTTAACCTGCGGTAATTCTTCTTCAGACCTGAAAAAGCCAATGAATTTTTTGCATAATTTGAGTTGCATATTAAAAACAGCATTTATACTGCTCTTGAACAAAAATTGTGAAGATAAAATTTGTGCAGAAATATGGAGAGAACAGCCACCAAGATAGTCATGCAATTTGGCTTCAGGATGAAATGCATGAACACAACATAACATATAGAAGCAAAGCATAATCATCACATCATGCAACATCAAGTAAGCATCATAAGCAGTAATACAACAGTAAGATAAGTGTTTTCTTTTTAAATGCACATTGAAAAGTTGTATTTTCACAGTTAATGTAGGTACTATATTTGGAAGCTTCAAAACGGTAATGAATGTGTGTAATGTGTAATAACTCCAAATCAAAAGAGAAATGGGCATTCCTTGGGGAACCTCTCATCAAAGATGAAAATGCCATGTTGACAACACAGAAGCATATCGTAGATGATTTTCTTTAAAAGCGTATCCTCAAACTGCTCTTACCTTGAGTAGTTTGACTGGTTGCTGAGTACAAAGGTTGTTGCTGACGAATAGATATATTTCTCCACAAACTGAAAAAAGGCCGGGAAAAAACAAAAGAAAACAAGGCAAATAAGAGAAAGTAGTTGGCACATAGTAAAATGTTATTATTTTCAGACAGTCAAATTGTACTCACCCAGCTGTTAGAAAAACTCTTGACAATACCCAAGCTTGCCAACATATGAAGGAATAGGTATATGCAAAGACACAAGTAAAATACTCCAAAGATGGCAACTCCTGAGTATACAGCCCAACCAACAGACCACCCAGCTACAAGATTGACTACGTAGTATATATTGATTCCAATCACAACAGTAGCTAATAGCATTGAAGCAATTATTGTGACTGGGCCACTGACAAAATCACCCATGATGGCTCTACTACTTGTGAAAGCGATGGTTGGAATCAGAGCAAATGGTAACTGAAGGCTCATAATTGAATTCAAATAGTTATTCATGTTGTTCATATCATCAATATTACTGTAATAAGCAACAAAGAATGTTGGGATGATGGCAACTGTTCGGGTCAAAAGAACTCTCTTCCAGCGAGCCCATTGCAGGTTAAGGAAACCCTGAAAAAAATTAATAATTAAAATGCTGGAAGAGTGTTTGAAAGTAAAAGCAAAACAATTTCCCCCACAAAAGCCCTTACCTCCATAGCAAACTGACCAGAATAACATCCAGTCATTGTACTGGATTGACCAGCAGCCAGAATACCCACAGCCCAAATATACATTGCTGCTATGCCAAATTGACATCCAAGAAATATACCACCATTATAAATATCTGCATCAACCAATTCATAGTCATCCTGTAAACAAAAATAAAATCTTTTGTGAAGGCATAAATTTAACAAGAGGAAAAAAATACATAGAAAAGAAACTTACAGGGAAAATGTCTGCCATGCTGTTTCCATTAGAAAGGCACACATTACGCTGGTAAGGGAAAATAAATTAGTGTGCTTTGATAAAACAAGTTGATAGATCAAAATGAAAAATATTAATAATCAGATGACACACATACCACTTCTTGGTTTGTTTTGTTATGGAGGCCCGCAGCAAAAACAGACACAACAAAAACGTTGATAATAAACGATACAAACAAAGCTATACAGGCTTCAATGAAGAAGTAGCGATTAGCTTCTTTGACTTTTTCAGATTTTTTGCGGTCAATTTGACGAGACTGTGGAGAAAGAAAAATTTAAGAAATCTGAACATAACTGTAATGAAATTTTTAAAACAGAAACAATGGGGTGCCACTCACTTTGACAAGAGCAGAATGAAGATACATATTATGTGGCATGATGACAGCTCCAACAATTCCCACTGCCTGCATAAGGGCTTTACTGTCACAATCCTCACACCAAGGTATAAACATACCTTTCAAAACCTCTACTTGGTCTGGTCCAACAACAATATACTGAAACAGATGAAGACTTAAGTAGTAGTTTGAATAAATATAAGCACAATATATAAATTAGAAAATGCTCAAGTAAAGTCAAGGTGTAGTGATATCACTATCATTACTTCGTATCCAAAGGAAATTGCCATCACGGTGATGAGAAATCCAAATAGACACTCCAACTTTCTGAGACCGTATCTGTCTAACAGCAGAAATGTGAAGGTGTCCACAGCAGTGATCAAGACTCCAGCCCATAATGGGATGCTGAAAAATAATAAATTTTATAACAGATAAAATTAGGATGAACTGCACAAAACCTCCTGCAATTTAAAATTGATTGAAAATAAGAGTCATTTTGGACAACTTACAGTTTATTACTAAGTAAATAGAGAGCAATAGCTGTTCCAATAACTTCTTGCATGTCAGATCCAATGATTGCAATCTCAACCATCAGCCACACAAATATTCTGGGAAGTTTTTGGTACTGACGATAACACATTTCAGCCAGATGAAGGCCAGTTACAACTCCTAATCTAGCGGATAGCCTTTGTATCATGAGGCCTAGCAATGTTGCAGACAAAAGAACCCAAAGTAGCTGCCACAACAACAATTTTGTTAATGGAAGGAACAGATAAGATAAAAAATAACAAAATTCAGATTATTTTCTGCCAGTTACCTTATACATAGCAACGGAACCAGACTCCAAGTCAGATTGGATATTGCCAGGGTCTAGGTATGCTATGCTCATCAAGAACCCAGGACCTGTGAATGCCCATAGTTTTCTAAAGCTAAAGCCTTTCTGCAAGCAACCATAGAAATTTGGAGTAATTAATTGGATTGCAAAAAATAACATAAGATGTTAGATTTTAATAATGCACAGCTAACCATTTCAACTTCTGGGATTAGAATTTGGTGGTCTTTGAAGTAGGCCTGTTTAGCTGGAGGAGTAAGGTTTGTATTTTCATCAGCCAACATTGCTGGGTTGACAACTCCCTCCCGATACCTTTTCGGCCCATTCTGATCTTCTTCGTTGGTTCCCATTTCAAATAAGGTTTAGACCTGAAAAACAAGCATTCATGTGGCAATAAGTTATTTTGTATCAAACTACAAAAATGTATTTGATGACATTATTAATAAAAATAACCAAAAAGATGAAATTAAAAACTTGTTTATAAGGAAATTTTGTACCTATTTGCAAAATAAAATCACAAAAGAAAAAGAACTTGATTGAAACGTGACTATTTCGTACTATTACTGGCGAGAAAAGATCTAATCAGTTTGAATGGAAACATAAGCTTAAGTCGTTCAATAACTTAACCTCAACAGGAACGGGCCTAAGTAAGGACAAACACGGAGCACATGGACGCGAGGACGACGGGACGCAACGAGGCCAGACTGAGTATGGATGTCAACCGAGGCGAAAGACACACCGTCGTAGTCGGAAACTGCCGTCTATCAGCTGATGGCCCATGCCATCCCAACCTGGCGGAGGCACTGTGTCAACACGGTGAACCCGAGCAGAGCAGAGACTCCCCGTGACGGCGACGAGAGACGAGGCAGTGCAGCAGCAACAACAACAGCTGCTTTGGCTCGCCCTCTGCAGAAGGCAACACCTCACCTGTGATTGTTCTCTCTTCGCAATCACCCTGGCACCTTACGTCCCCATCATCATCTGCCGTGTCCTGCGTCTGCGCTAAAGGTGAGGCGCGGACATCACATCACAAAAAGGTCTGCTGGGAGGGGGGAGCGGGAAAGAGCAGGGGCG